CTGGGGATAGGCTGGGAGGGGAGGAACATCTGATTGGATGTAGTGATGAGATGCAGAGACACCTGGAAAGCTTAGCTCCTTAGGAGGAAGGAAGTGGGTGTTGGAACTAGGGAAGAGTACAGGTGATGCAGGAGTCAGGGAGGCTAAAGGTCCTCCTAACAAAGAGACCTGAAGTGATAAACATCTCTGGTGGAAACTGTCCTTAACTCTTTTCTGTGAAAGATAGACGCTGATTTCAGGGGAAGTATAATTGAAGACTGTTGCTCTGTAGAGCAGAGGTTTTATAACTGTTACCTTAAATAAATGTGTATTTACTGAGTACATTTGGGTAAAGAAAACTTTTTATGAATTAGTCAATAAAGTTACCCTAATGGTGTGGGGTTTTTGTGTTTGGATTTTTTAGGGGTTTTGGTTAACTTAGCATCTGGCAATGTGACACTGTCAGTTAACTCAGAACTTCAACCAAAAATGAGACTCTTGTTTTCCTTTGTTTTTCATTTTAGGTCTCATCAGATGTATTACATGTTTGGATTCCTGTTCCTAGTTTTTATAATTCTTCTAATTACGTGTTCAGAAGCTACAGTTTTGCTGTGCTACTTCCATCTGTGTGCAGAGGTAAAAGTTACAGTTTTGCTGTAGATGCCACTTGTAGCTGGGAGATGTTAGAAACAGAGGTGAGGTATTCACATGTACTGTGAAGTGCTGGACACTGAATGGATTGCACTGCCAGCCTTGACATGCCTGTCTTAGCCACTCTTCTGAAATGTGCTTTTTGCTTCAAAATCCACCACTGGCAACAGATAAGCAAAAATAAACAGGCTTGATCTTAGAATAATTTCATGTTCATAGTGGAAGCAATCAGGTGACTTGTAGGAAAAAAAAGTACCTAGGTGCTATGTAGGAATTTTTTTTAAGATAAACTTTGCAGAATCAAATGTGTTTCAGAAGACAGTGTTATTTTTTAACCAGCTTATTTATATTTTGTTTTCTGTGTGGTGACTCTTGGTGACTGGTTTATTGTTTTTTTCAGGATTATCACTGGTGGTGGAGGTCGTTCTTGACCAGCAGCTTTACAGCAGTTTATCTCTTTATCTATGCAGTTCATTACTTCTTCTCCAAACTCCAGATAACAGGAACTGCCAGCACCATTTTATACTTTGGTTACACAATGATCATGGTCTTGATTTTTTTCCTTTTCACAGGTAAGTACGGTGTTCAGTCTAAAGCGAATGCAGGGGCTTCTGCTTTTGAAATGAGAAGCACTGGGTGAAATTTAGACTCTCTGAACCATGAGATACAATCTGTGACTCTTTAGTCAGTGTTACTTTTATGGTTTGTGACACCACACATCACAGGAAGGTACTCTTTATGGTTTTTTCCTAACTTGAAATTACATTTATTTATAGCATAATTAATTTTCCTTTATTGAATATTATATTAGCAATGAGTTCAAACCATTATATTTTTCAAAGGGCTGTTCTTGTTCACTTTGATATCAAGTGTTAACTTGATTTTGGATTTCGTAATTGGTTCTAGAAGTTGCGTAGTTAAAGATAATTGTGCTCTGCATATGGTGGATAAAGAATGTTTTCAGCTTTCACTCTCAGCAAGTGAAGGAGGCTGGTGCTGGGGAAGAAGTGGAGTTTGAGAAGAGAAAGTTTTAGTATTGTTAGAAGTGGCCTCACCTGCTCACTAAGCACCACTTCTTAATGGCAGGAATTTACCTTAACTGGAGGAACCTGTTTGAAATAGGGCTCTCCAGTTTTAATTGTCCAACTTCTCTGCTGTTACTCGTGCAGACTACGTGTCTTCTACAGAATTACTCACTCTAACATTCATAATCACTTGACTGAAACTATAATTTCGAGGTTGATTTGATGAGAAATCTGTGCCAGATTTACCATGTGTTAGAGGAAATTAGAAGCTCTTTGAAGGGTACTGGCCCTTAAAAATAGCCAGGAGCATTTTATCTTGGTGTTCATCGTACTGCTGCTGTTGTATATGTAGATTTAACACATGAAGTCAGATCTTTTAGGTATCACTGCTTGGCATGAAGTACAGCAGTGGCAGAACTAGAGAAAATGCTGGTTCATATATGACTGGTTGTTCGTAAAACCAACCTTTGTAGTCACTCCAAAGACTTGTGATAGAGGATTTCACTGTGGATGTCACCATGGTTTATATTGTTACTTCTTAACTTCTTCTGACTGATTGTTGAAACCTGTTGTAATTGCTTTGTGTTCACTTTATGAAATGCATCCCTTAACTCAGTTAAATGCAGTTAAAAAAGAGTGGCTAAAATAGGTAATGAAGGTAAGTCTTAGCTTCAGACCAAGTCAGTGCAGCAGTGAGAAAAATCTCTTTCATCTTTATTTTTTCTAATACTGGTTGACATGAGAAAAAAAAAGCACTGTTCATGATAAACACTGAAGAAAATTACTGTATGTGTTTGAACAAAGCAGTTACTCTGTAGAAATTGTATCTAATAACATTAACTGGCACTTACTGATAGGTTTTTATTTGTTATTTAGATATGTGTCTCTTCAAAAGAAAGCCAAAAGGAGTTTTTAGAAGAAGTGGGTGGGGAAAAAAGGGGAGGATTTAATTATTCTATTTTTTAATTATTAGAAGACAAACATAGAAGTTGGCATATTGCCAGTTAAAGCCCTGCCTAAATCCTGGTGAAACAGACAAGCTCCAGATGTCTTCTATAATATATCTCTATCTATATGAAAAGAAAAAAAACCAACCCTCAAACTATAGTCTAAAATGTTTTAATTACTTTTAAACTAAAGCAATATGTTAATATGTGTCTGGATTTTAGCATAGGTTAGTTGCTATCCTGCCAATTTCAATTTCACTTACAAGATGCAAATTGGTAGAATTAAAAATATCCCTTTCATATATAAAATGATAATTGAAATTGTCGTGGCAGCAGCTGAAATGGCATTAAAAGCTTCAGATGTGCTGATCCTGGAGTTCTTGATGTGGAGGCCAGTGAGGCCCCAGAAGTACAATAATAAACTGTGCTGCAGTGTCTTCTTTTTATTTTGAAATAAACCCACAGTAGTGCTGGCTATGCTGCATTTGTAGTTCATGAGGAAAGCTACTACACAGTCCCTTTTTTTTTTAACATTTAATAGAACAGCTAGTCACTAGAAGGGTAATGGGTATAACAGACATGGAGTGTATAATAAACCCTTGATAATGTAAAATGTTGTGATAAAATTTTCCCTATTTTGTTTGATGATAGATTTTTGGATCTGAAATGCAAGCTATTCTAGACAGATGGTACAAGCAAAAGACAGCTCCCTTTGCTTAGTTTTGTAAAATATTCCGTAATAGCCCTTGCTTTAGAAAATAAGGGTTCAGTCCCTCATGAGTTTCTGGAGGTGAAGGAGTTTGCTAATGTAATTTTACACACTGTTTGCATTAATAGAGTTCCCAAAATGGGACCTTCATCTGTTCCACTTAAGTTAGCACTAGGTATTTTGATTTTCTCTATTCTTGCCTGTTAGGTCTCAGCAACTGTGACAGAAGTATAAAGGGCAGTGTTAATACCTCCTCGGTGACAGCATGTTGTGTTACCCTGGGCATTACAAAAGAGATCATAGTGAATAAGTAAATAGGAACTGAGTGCTTGTATGGCAACAACGACAATAATACAATCTGACCAGTGAAATCTAATAATTAGTGTGCACCCCCAAACCAGACAATTTTGTTTTAATGTACAAAGTGCAGCTAATCTTTCAAGAAATAATAAGGGTGGGTGAATGGGGATGGCTACGTGATTACATGCATTTTATTCTCAGAGACGAAAAAATGCTGAACATAGTCAAAGCATGTTGCTTTACAGTGACCTCTATTTTTGAACATCATTTTCACTTGTGAGTTAATGCCATTTTCAAAATTGAGTTTTGATCTTCTGGGTAGATTGTGTTTAGAATCCGAGATTCTGAAGCACCCACCACTGAGCAGTGATTGAAACCAGTATGATACAGAGAGCTTTTAAGGTACATAAGAAGTATCAGCAAAGTGCAGAGTGCTTTTCTGTTTGCTTTCTTACAATCTGCTCGTGCTTTGAATTCTTTTTTCTTCATTAAACAATAAAGCTAGAAGGGATGAGTAGAGCAGAAGAGTCTGCTTAATGTATTTTGACATTATTCTGTGCAATAATCCTTGGTTTTAATTTTGAATTTAAACTATGTTTACTAATACCTTTCCCTTACCCGGTCAGATGCCAGCTTTCTGTGTGTAACATCATCTTTCTGTGTATCAGAAAGTGGTAGTGTGTATGTTGTGGAGTATTCAGCAGTCTATAAACCTGAGGACAAAAAGATCAAAAAACAGCTGAGCTGTTTTATACTAAGTATAAATGGATTTTTGGACATATCTGGCTTCTTGGCTAGAGAAATTGCTTGAGACATCTTCACAACTGTGATCCTGAATTTTAAATAGCTCCTGCAAAAGATCTTTTAGCATTACCTCCCTAGGATGATCAGTGGTGTTGGGCAGGCTGCTCTGCACTGAGCAGAGCAGTGCAGTTTCCTAGAGTAGTAGAGATTATTTGAAAAAGCAGAATCTTAAAATGTGCAGGTCACCCACTTAGGGAAAAATAAAGGTCTACCCCTCAACAGTAACTTCTTCAGTGCAGGCCACCAGGTGCTCTTTCATTCAGTTTAAGCTGGTGAGCGCTTAGGATTTGTTAAAATAAACATGAGCCAAGAAACTAATTTGTTATATTGGATTAAACCAAACAAACAGATTTTATAGGCTCATTAGAGGAATTGGTGTCAGGCTTGGTGCTGGGTCATTTCATAGAAATGTGCATCTGAAAGCTGTAAAAACTTTGCAGTGAAACGGAGTTTAGACCAAGCAGAAAATAATTTTAGAGGTCTCAACTCTTTCAGCCAGTGGTGTCTTTGTATTTATTTGCTTGTGGGGTTGTTGGTTTTTTTTTGTGGGTTTTTGTTTGTTTGTTTGTGTTTTTGTTGGGGTCTTTGTTGTTATTGGGGGAGAGGTCTAAGTACTTAGTGATAGAATTTTTTTTACAGCTTTAACAAAAACGCCTTTTGGGTATCTGTCTTCTGTCATGTTGTGTTCACTGATGTCTGTCAGAGAGGTGGCTCCTTGTTGACAGTGCTTCAAAACTTGGATTTCAGTTTGAATGTGTTTTGAAAGAGACAAATAAAAGCAAGATCCTAACGTGGCTCTTATCTAAAGCTTACCTAAATAGTCCTCCTGTGCTAATGAGAGGCTCATTTTAATACAGGATGATTCTAATTTCAGTGCAAGACGTGCTTAGAAAAATGCTAAAGACTGAAGAGCTGAGAGTGCTCTTCAAGAAAATACGTTTCAAGTCACACTACATGAGCTGGCAAGGTTGGATTTTAACCAGTGCAACTACTAATGGCAGTTGTCTTGGGTAGAGGTGCACGTGTAGGAAACTGATCCTGCATTTAACTGTGTTTTAATATTGGCCTTAGTCAAGGTAGTTAAAAAGAGGAATCTGGGAACCTGTTACACTTGTAAGCACAAGCCTAAAGATGTAGTATAAAGTGGTTTCCCACATAAAGTGCTAAAATCTGGAGCAAGTGACAGATTTGTGAAATGGGTTAAACGTAGAAAACATTCTGGCTAGAATTTTCAAACAAGCCACACTAGTTCAGAGCTACTTTTCTTCCCCAGTTATTACTCATTTGCAGATCACTTCGATTGGGGTATGTACTCCTGTATAGAAAATCTGAAGGTTTTTGACTGCATTACCTTTTGTGGGCCCTGTAGTGGTTCATGGAATCAAAAGCACCCCGAGGTCTGAGGTGGAAAACCCTGAATTTCAGTGGAACCAGGCACTGTGCTGTTTATGTTCTTAATAAAAGCAAAAGTTAAGCTTTTCATTTCACTGCATAAGCAATCATGTAGGTAAAGCAGCTGTACAGGGAAACCTTATAAATAATGTTCCCTTAGCTTACATTCATATCTATCCAATAATAGTGATTTTGTAATAGCAACCCGATTCTGTGGTGTCCTGAGCCTTAAGAAGCATCTAGTCTGTTTGGCCCATGTTATTTTAAAACTAAAAAAAGATGAAGTTTCTAGTCTATAGAGCTATACATGTCTGGAGTTTGTAGGTTAAATTTGTTCATGTGAGGGAAGAAGAAATTACAATGCTGGTAAGCCCAAATTATTGATGTGGAGGTAACAGCTGAAGGACTCTGCACACCAGAGAAGGTTCTGGCCACATAAGGCTGTATCTTGGTGAAGTGTGTTGCTTTTCTCTCCCAAGTTCATGATTCAAATCTGGTACATTGGCAAAATTTCTGATAAAGTTTAAAAAAGGAGCATGGGGTAGTCAGTCTTTGATTTGCTAAACAGACTTTTTTTAGGAGGGGAAGTTGAAAATCAATGTTACTGAAACCTGTGAAAATCTGTTTATAGACGAAATGCTTGTTCACAGTGTGAAGTCTTCAAGTTCTGTTATGACTGAGGCAATGTTTTGTAGAAAACTGATGTATTATAAAGATTCAGACTAACAAGGATTGGAGGAAAATGCTGTGGATTTAGAGTGTGCTCCCATATTAAGTTGTGGCATGCTCACAGAACTGTGGTAACTCTCATTCCTGTGTTAGTTGTACATTTTTGTTATGATACTACACTTTTGTTCTAGAACAGCAGATAAATTTTTAAGTTATCTCATCTGTTAAATATTTGGAAGAAACATTGCTTTCAAAACCATAAAAAGCTTTGAGTGGGCTATATTATAGAAACAACTAGAAAGCAAATGCTGAGAACCATTATTAGGAAAAAATCATGAGAGTAAGGCTTAGAGTAACAATGCTGATATTGGAGTATTTGACACAGTAGGAAGGAGTGAGAATTGACCATGAACTGCAAAGACTTACTGATGTCAAGCCTACAAAGGAATTATATTCCTTTTGTGGTTGGTGTCTGATCTCCTATCAACAGCCATAAATCTGTTATCTCTTACTGTTTCAGAGGATGATAACTGCAAACTTGGAGAGAAAGGGTAATCTGTGCCATATAATAGTAGGCTGTCAAAAAGCCTTTAACTGCAAATATACATGGTAGCACGAAGAATGTAAGAATTGGCATGTAGATAATAAGCTTCCCAAGATGGGTTTCTCACTTGGGAAATGTGTGGATGTGGTCTGAAAGAAATGTAACTGATGTAAAAAAACAGAAATGCTTAATAAAGAACCATCTAGTTAGTGAATCAGTCACAATTAAATGCTGAAAAAAACCTGGAGCAGACAGAAAAGGGTGAATGTAAAACTGGAGGAGCTGAGTGCGTGATCTTGCAATTGGCTGCAGTGTAGCTGGTAAGGGCTATCACAGGGCTGGCATGTGGCTGTGTCCTTGAGAGGGAATTCACCTGGAAGTCAGACCTTCCTTTTTTCTAGCTGTTAAGGCTTACCATCTCTGTGGCAGCTGACCCCTAGGTAAAGGTGTGAGGAACAGTGCATCACTTTCCTTAGAGGCTGAAGACTAAATAAAGTGACTGGGTCTCTGTCTCCTTGCATATGAAGTTCTTAAAGTAATTTAAAAATAAATGTGACGGATGATGTCCTTGCACTTACTCTGTTATAATGACTGTAGGTGAAAACCACAGGCTTGTTCATTAGTTAAAGATAGAAAATTGGTCTGTACTAATCTCACACAGTGTTTTGGTTTGTCCCTGTTAGTCTCACTTGCTGCTTGCTCCCAACTGCTGTGGCACTCAGAGCATTGTTTTAGCAAAAGGAGGTAACAGGATATACAGAGGAAGAAGTTCCCTGTTCTTGAGTGTAAATAGAGCACGATGAATATAAAACTGGGCCAGGTGAATTTTTCCAAGGCTTTGTTACATGTCGTAAAATTCACGGGTGGCAGTGAAGTGTCATAGACTCAGAAACCCAGGTAGGGGCTGACTCTGTGTAAAAGTCAGTGTCTTAACAGGTGCCTGTGTGTCTGCTGGTCGGGGTGGCATCATGTTCAGTGGTTAAAATGGATGTCAGCAGCCTGGTCCTAAAAGTCATCTTTGCTCTAAATAAATAACTTAGGGGGATGAATGTGTGTTGTTAAATTTAAGAAGTGCTGTTATTCTGGGTAGTTAGCTGGATTACAATGTTATATTCTGTCCTGCTGGGAAGTACTTGTTAGATTTCTCTCTCAGAACAAACTGTAAAATAAACTAACCTTTTTCACTTTCTCATTTTAGGGACTATTGGATTTTTTGCCTGCTTCTGGTTTGTAAGTAAGATTTACAGTGTTGTGAAAGTGGACTGAAAAGCTTCAAAGTGTCTTTTGAACATATCTCCCTTGCTGTTTGATAATTTTTACCATGTATTGAAAAACATCCTGTGTAATTATTCTAATTTGCAAAAGCTGAAGACCAGACTACAGCATAAAATACGGATTTTAATGGAAGGAAATGGCACCATTGCCATTTTGATAAAAACAAAAATGTTGGTATACTCATTGAACATGTTCATTGTAATAATTCAGAAATTATATCCAGAATTTGATTTAAGACAAATAAAAATTCTGTGAACTGGTTTATCTGAAAAATGTGTGCAGTCCTCCAGCTGAATTTTCTTGTGATTTGGGGGGGGGTTTTGTTACCTCTTTTGGTTACCATTTATATACCATTAAAGCATAGGACTGTCAAGTAAATCTATATAAAATGTGAATTTTTTTAACTTAACTATGATTGTACATATTATCCTGCACCTTCTTTACAACTAGGTATCTTCTTACAAATGTACATGCATTTAGTTTAAGGTAGACTTTATTAAAAATATCGACACTGGTTTTTGTTCAAATAAAACTGCACAACTCTGTCTGACTTGTTTCCTTTCTTGTTAATTAGGCCTTCACTTCTTGGACACAGATCACATTAGTTTGACCAGTTGATACTTTTTGAGATGTGTATTGTTTATAAGCAGTTTGACTGTGGTTTTGGCTGCAGATTGTCTGTGCAAGCAGGACTGGTGGGTCACTTGAATCCATGGCTGGAGGATGGGCAGGGGCCTCTGAACTTACTCAGCTCTGTGGTTACTCTACTTTCCCCAAAATATTTTTTGCTGGACAAACCATCATTTTCTGTCAAAGATCAAACCCTTTTTCCTTCTTTTAGCCCTCTGAAACATCCATCTCCTTGTTCTTCATCCTGTGAAGATTGATGCAGCTTGTTGGGAAGTTTAGCTGTGAATCTAATGGGTTTGGGGAATGGGTGTTTCATAAAGGTGAAGCCTTTTTCCTGCTCTGCAGAGCTTGTGCTTAAGTGCTGGATTACATGAGATGGAGTATCTTAATAGCCTCTTCAGCTTTAGAATTGCAGGGATTCTTCTCTCAGGAATGTCAAGGCTTTAAAGAGGCTCCCCAAAATCTCGAATTGCACTTGAAGCTGAGCAGAGAGTCACTGCAGACACATAATTCCAATGGCTGTGTCACGGGTGCCACTGGAGATGAGTAGGGGGATGTTCACTCGGATTAATGGGTGAGAGACTTGAAGCTTATTAACTGGCATATGGAAACATTCATCGCTGGAAGCTGCTTTGCACCATCTAAGCCTACAATTTAACAGGACCCAGAATGACTCTGTATCTCTTCATAGTCATATAAATACCAGGTAATTGTAGTTAAATGTTTAATACCCTTTCCAAAATGTAATCTTTGGTATGAGGACTTCAGGTCTCCCCTCTGTGTAGTTATTCCTTCCAGGTTACTGAACTGTTGGGACAGATCACCTAAGCTGGGATGGGTACCAAGCCACATCTTTTGAGCAGTGCCTGTGGCATAAAAGTGAGGCTTTAGGCAATTTAATAAAGAGAACCAAGCATTGGTGTACCAGGAGGAGCTGGTACAGTAGTTTCCAGTGAGGTTCAGGTGTGCTCTTGATGGCAGCTTGGCCTCGCAAATATTTTCCCCTCCTACCAACAGAATCTCCATTTCCCTTCTGTTCTCTCCCAGAGGTGGGAAACAGCAGAGTTGCCATTAGAGAAAGCAGCTTGCGGTTGGTTATGAGCTGGTTTAAGAGCACCAGTCACTCTATTAGAGGTTTCGTGCTCTTGAAATTGGTGCTGCTGTGTTTATAAAGGTCCTTCCTTGTAAATCTTCAAGTTTGGGGAGATTTTATTGAATACTTAAAAAAATAAATTGTTACATGAAGCTGCTTTTTAATTTTTCATGTTCAAAGGGAAATGAATTCATGAGAGAATTGGAGCTACAGTTGCCATAAACTCCCAGCAGGATATTTTGCCGGATTAATAAATATGCATTTCACAAGAGGCAAAGTAAAATGGGTTGTAAAATTGTATTTATGGTGCTTTTACTGTTACTACTAGTGAGCTAAAAAGTAGAAAGTGGGTTTAAGAGGTTTCTGAAGCTTGCTAGTAGTCCAGAGTCAAAGCCATGAAGTAAAATTTGGTTGTCAAGCTTTTAGCAGAGAACTTTTGTGTGTGTGTGTGTGTAATAGGCCCTATTTGTGTAAACCTGGCATAATTCATTGTTTTAACATTGTTTTCTGATATCTTTTTTTGACCAAGGAAAACCTGCCAACTGTCTTTTGGCTTGGTAGTAATAGAGAAAGCCCCTAGGCTGAAAGTTAAATACAGATGGTTCTGAGCACTTACCAGTTGAAAGGTGGTGTAAGCCCTAACCAGAATGTAGTAGACAAACTTCTTAATTTTAGTTTTATTGAGCACAGGATGAGCATTCTCAGCACCTTTGGGAGGTTTTTAACTATGAGTAAAGGTCTTGTCCACTCTGTTGAGAGTGATGGGTTTTGAAGATGAAATGGTCATTATGGGGACATGAATGTTCTAAGTACATGGATTATCAGTAACTGGTGCCTTGATACCTAATCTGTTTTATATTAATTTATGAATAATAGTTGTCACATGGAAATAACCATTATTTATCTACTCTCGTGAGAACAGGCTTAGTAAAGATACTCGTTGCAGATACTTGAGCCTTCCTTCTCTCTCTAAAAAAGAAAAAAATTGGGCTAAGTTTCACCTTTTCTGAAGTGTGTGTATAGACATCTACATTGCATTTTTGTGATGCTTCCAGTAATAGATGAGGTAAAACATCTCCCGTGTGAGACTCTCTGGTAATAACCACCCAAATCCAGCAGACTTTGTAGAATGTCACGTTTGTCATATTTTAAGTGAAACTTGACAAGTTACAACAGAACCTCAAAGGCAGGAGGGATTTCTGTGCTGATGTTTTACATTTCATTCCACTTGCTTGATCAGTGTTGAACAGATAGAGCCTCATCGTCATTCCCGAGTGGAAGTGCCAAGAACATGGAGATGTACAGCGAGGAGGGGAGTCAGGTGCAGTGTGTGTGTGGGATCCACGCCCACACCTGTGGGAACCTCCTCGAGGACTGGGAATGGTGCTGCTCTGCGGGAGCTGGGAACACGTGGCACATTCCTGACGAGCTGTGATGGAGGGATGTTTGATGAACAGCAATAAACTCGTCTGCAGTGGCTTGCTTGATGTTCCTTATACCAGTTGTGCTTTTGTGTTTGGTAACACATTCCCAGTTCCCATTTAAAATCTGTCTCCTAATTAAGTTATGCTGATAGCTCAACTATTTACAGAGATCTGTTGCAAAGGACGGGGAGAGAGGAAATCTAAATCAAATTCAGATGCAGTTAAATGCTGGTGTAGACATGGGATTGCTTCTGGGACCTGTGAGATCTTGAACAACAATCACCACCTGAAGATCCAGCAGTGAAAATCACCCATGAATTTAAAAAAAAAAAAAAAAGAATGTTAAGCGGTTTGCATTGTAAGATTTGGGACCAAGGTCTGTGACTGCTGAAGTGAATGGGAAAAGTTTTCTCATGTCAGTCACAAGCCATAAGAAAAGGATGATTCTTGGATGTGTGGTGTCCTCTATAGTCTTCCACCAGACGACCTGCTGTCCAGTCCCATTCCCATGAGCTGTATCACCAAAACCAATTAATATGGCATTAAAGTTCAGTATGGGGGTGTTGCTGTTTCTCTGATGACTGTGGTATCACTTTGCATTTTCACTTGCAAACAGGACTGAAATCACTGCATTTCTACAGAACAACTGCTGCTGCTTCCAGGCTTAAGAATGGAGAGATGAAGCTGCTGTGCTCTTCAACTGCAATTGTAACTTTAATTCAACTAAACTTAGATTTAAATCTTAAAAACAGTGTCTGCTAAACTCATGTCGTGGAGCTGAGTGATTTCAATATTCCTATTTTTTTATTAAATATGATCTGACCACTAATCATTATTTTTAGAAAATATGTTTTGGGCGGTGTGGGTGGCTTTGGGTTCTGTGGCCTCTGTTTTCCCTTTCTCTTTCATGCCTGGGGACACCACTTTGCCCCGAGGAGAGCTCCTTTTGCCAAAAACATGTGAAAAAGAGGGTCTGACCTCATTTCCCAGAGCTCTCCAGTGCACTGCTGCAGGAACTGAGCCCAGAACAGATCCTGGGGGGCACAGCCCTTGCTGCAGGTGTCTGAGGGACCGTGTACATGAGAAGCAATCAAACTGTTTTAGCCTCTTCATTGAGGCCAAAGTCACGATTTGCCCACGGTGTGATTTAGTTGTGGAGGACAGTCAGTTTTATGGCAAAGACTGGGTGGGAAAGGGCTTAACAACAGCCTGGGCTTTCCCTAAGATAATAAGCAGCAATGCAACTCTCCTGGAGACATGGTTCATCCTTCTTAGTATGGCTTCTTTGCACCCGGCTGGGATGTCTTTGACTTTGCTGGGATAAAAGCAGGATGGATTTCTTTCATGTTCTGTTGAGAGATGCTGCAAGCCTGTACCCAAAACTTCAGGTCAGGGTCACCATCTATTTTGGCATCCAAAGTAGCTGTGGTTCAGGAGTTCACAGTTTGGCACTTCATCCTCCTAATCTCGGTGCCTCTGAGTTACAGCCTGCACACACTAATTAACTTTGCTCATACAAACTGGGAGCCCTCAGACTTTCTGTGAAGTTATTAGTGCCAGGGTTTTTATAGATAACATTAGCGTCTGCAGAATTTACCCAAGGTAATTTATGTTGTATTTGCAACTTGGGGAAAGCTCTTAGATGTCTGACATCATAAAACAGTAAAACTGGGAGATTTATTACAGGGACAGAGAGAACAGGGCCCTTGAGCTGCTTTGTTAATCATAAAACATCGAGTTAATCAGACATGCACATGTGCCTCCCATATTTCCTGGTTTTGTTTCCCTCCTGTGCTGCTCCTTGACAATCTCTGCAGTAGATGAAAAGTCCTGGGAGCCCTGGCAGAAGTCCTTTGGACTCCACAGGATGAGAATTACATTTGTATGTTCAGGGGTTGCTTATCTCCCTCTATTAATAGAGAGGAAACATATGCAACTGAGCTCTCCATGAGGCTGAAACTTCTCCTGGAGAAGGGCAATACAGGAAATCCCAGGAGCACAGCTGGGGAGTGGATTGAGAGCTGATGCTCCTGGACTGCATTGGAGCTCTCAGTGAGATGTCAGCACCTCAAAAACACTCATCCCAAAGGACGGTGAACTGCAAGTAAAAAGATGTACAGTAAAGAAACCTCACTTTTTAGAAAGGGAACAGGAATGGCTGTGCAGGGAAAGCTGGAGCTTGGTGGCTCACAAAAACCCCAGCAGGGGGGAGCGTTGGGGCATCATGGCCAGAGCCTGGTCAGCAGAAGGGAGCTGGGGAGGACAGCTCAGAGCTGGGTGTCCTGGCTGTCTTAAATTTACTCACTAAGACACTCTCTCTGCCTGGAAAGCTTTTCCCACTGCTGACCTGAAATCCCTGTGACTGCCACAGCCCTGCCTCATGGGTTTTCGGCAATACTG